CTTGGGAACGGGGCGGCACTGGGGAGGGGGAGGTGGGAAGGGTTTGAGCCAGGGCACACACCGCTCTGTCCCTTCAGGCGGGGAAGGGGACAGGGGACTGTGCCCAGGAAGGCCCTTGTTAGCCCCTGCGGTCTGGACCATACCTGCAGGCTGCCCACAGCTCCCTGACGTGTCCATCCTCCGATGGGATTACGTGGGGAAGGAGGGAGGCTGCCTGACCGGTGGCTTCTAGAGAAAAAGGGAGAGGAGGCGTGAGCAGCATTCTGTCTGGCACAGGCCTGCCCAGGCTTTGCAGTGATGGGGAAGGTGTTTTGTTCCGAATCCCGGGTGCGGAGCAAGGGGATGGAGAATTGGCTGAGGGGGAGCTCCCTGTCCATCGCAGAGGGGCTCTGGCATGGAGCCGAGCATGGGGGAGATGGCCTTCCCACTTTGGGCTGTTTAAAGGAGGGATGTGCAAACACGATTTCTGGGTCTGACTCTCAGGAAGGGAAGGTCCCTTGCTTGCCCAGCGGTTTTGGCGTGATGCCCCTTTGGGCTAACCTGGGTTTGGTACAGCGACAGGCGCTAGCACAGCTTGGGTTGCTCGAGCACCAGCCTGAAGATGAACGATGCAGCCTGCGCTTCCCCTCTGCACAGAGAGTTCTGCATGTGTCATGTGGACGATGGCGTGTGCTGCCAGATCAGGACAGGCTTTGACACGCCTAGCTGATAATCTGATTCAGCTTGATACTTCACCGAAAACCATCTGAACGAAGTATCTCTAATTTTGGGGGAGAGGCATCTGAAGTCTAAAACCAGGGGCAAGTCTTACCTCCCCAAGACCAGCAGAAAGTGTGGTGAAATTGCATCCCCCGTGGAATTAGCTGTATCTCCACCTAGCTTTTTTCTCTTTTAAGTCCCCTTGGCTGTTAGATTTAATAGGCTAATAATAGCAGGCCATGTTGTTTACAGCAGCTTATGTAAACTACCCTGAGTCCTCCTAGCTGGGGAGCGTTGTCAGCGGTGCTGGAGCCGGAGCAGGGAGGTAGGAGAGCAGTGCCAGTGCTCAAGCCAGGGCGGTTTCTTGCATCATGGGAGCCGCGGGCTGGCAGGTGGTATGCCCCAGAGCTGTGGCACTGGCACGGACACGCTGCACCACACTGCGGTACCGCCGCAGAGCAAGTGGAGGAAATGGTCTGTTTTCCTTGTGCATCATTCAAAGCCTCACCACAAACGTGCAGTGTGAGTGGATAAGGGAAGAAGCCCTGTTTTCCCCCACCACCCTCTCTGCCCCCGCTGTCCCATGCCGAGTGCTCGGCACAGTGCCCGGCTGTTACACCCCTGGGGTGCCAGGCCCTTTGGGACGGAGCTGGGTGTCTGACCCTGCCAGAGCTGGCAGTGCCCTCCCAGCAGGGAGAGAAGTCATCTTCCTGGGAGGGAGGGAGAGCTAGTCTGCTTTTCAAGCCTGGGGAGGTACAAGAGGTGTTTGATTCTGCAGCAGAGGGACAAAGTTTGGCAAGAACATATGTGAGGATTGAGAATAACTGTCTGGGCTCTTCCCTTTTAAAGGTCTCTCCTCAAGAGATGGTGCAAGAGATCCACCAGGTTTTAATGGACCGCGAGGATACCTGCCATCGGACTTGCTTCTCTCTGCAGCTGGATGGCAACGTCCTCGATAACTTTGCTGAGCTGAAAACGATTGAAGGACTGCAGGAGGGCTCGCTGCTGAAAGTGGTGGAAGGCAAGTTCCTTCAGACTTTGGAAGGGAATGAGCAAGGGTTTTCATAGGGAGCGGTTCTGGCCAGGTGGCAGCCCTTTCCTCTGGTTCCTTTCTGAGATCCGTGTGCCAAAGGAGTAAGCAACTGTGTAATTCCAGTTTCTTTCCTCCCTTTTTGCTCATCAGAGCCATACACGGTGCGAGAAGCCAGGATACACGTGCGCCACATCCGGGACCTTCTGAAGAGCCTGGACCCATCGGATGCTTTCAATGGTGTGGACTGTAATTCACTGTCTTTCCTGAGTGTGTTCACTGAAGGAGACCTGGGAGGTACGGGGCAAAAAGGCTTCTCTAGTGTGGTCAGTGTTTGCATTCCCCTGGCTCCTTGCTTCGTTAAAACACCCTGTGACAGTCAGCTGTCCCACACCATTCCGGAGTGCAGAGAAATGCCCAGAGCACTTCTGCATTCCTCCTCGACTAATCACAGGAGGAGGGAACGTTGTGTTTTTCAGCACTGACTTTCTATCTCTGTCTGTTCTAGACAGTGGAAAACGGAAGAAGAAAGGTACCGAAATGGAACAAATTGACTGCACCCCTCCTGAACATATCCTGCCAGGTAGCAAAGAGAGACCCCTGTGTGCCCTTCAGCCCCAGAACAGAGACTGGAAGGTAGAGTTCTGCTGTGTCATTAAAACACATTTCGACACATTCCTTGCAGCAAACTGGTGTTCAGCGACTGAAGTGGACTTTGGGATTTGTTCTGCTTGATGCTTAATGAGTGCTGGAGTAGCGCTGCTTAGCCAAAAGAATAAAGTCCAAGAGCTTGTGTGCAAAACACTGGACACTGAGTCCGGACATCTGTGGAGTGTCAAATGGCCAGGCTTGTTGGGCTGGGTGGCAGGGAAGGGAGAACTGCATTTCTCTGCGAAGTCCTGGAGGCAGGATCTGCAGAGCACTACAAATTACCCTTAGCATTCCCGTACCCTCCCACTTGGATTCCGGTTTAGAAGCTGCCATTTGAAAACCAGTACAGCAAGAAATCCGTGCCTTGTGCAGCCCAAAGGCCCAGGGTGTCTTTCTTTACCTGTGTCTTACGGTGTGAAAGGCAGCACACCGAGGCCAGTTGGTGGGCTGCAAATGGCTCAAGGAAGGCTATGCTCTTGAGACCGTTTTTTTTTTTTTTTGTAAGCTCTGTTTCTGGAGCTGAGTGAGGGTGGCAGGAAAAAGGAAGCTGGGATGTACATTGTGTGGCTCCATAACTCAGGGGAATTAATTCCTACTGACAGGAGTTGCTTCTGTTGTGTTCTTCTGTAGCCTTTGCAGTGCCTAAAGGTATTGACGATGAGTGGCTGGAACCCTCCACCTGGTAACCGGAAAATGCACGGAGACCTCATGTATTTGTACGTCATCACGGTGGAGGATCGGCACGTCAGTATCACTGCATCCACTCGAGGATTTTACTTGAATCAGTGAGTAACTCAGATTCCTCCTGTCCTGCCCTGCAGCAGGGAGCTTGCGATAGCCAGCTGGAAAAGAACCCACAAACAAACAGTCGCTGCTTTGGTTTATTTTGGTGGAAAATAGCCTGTTTTAATTTGTGGCTCACATGGGTTTGTAGGAGTTGCCATACTGGATTGGGCTGTTCAGTTATGCCTGGTACCATTTCTCCATGGTGGATAAATGCCTGATGCTTTAGGGAAAGTTTAAACATCCCATAATGTCATCACCTAATTAGAGCATTTTGAGTTGGGAGGGAATTCCTTCCTGACCATTGCAACTATCTCATTTTGCCCTAAAGCAAAAGCACAGCCTCTCAGAATTTCCTAAGCTGGGCAGAGATTTGACTAGATTTTTTAAAATATTTTTTTTCAGTAGTGACAGAGCCTGTTAAAGCGGCCGTGCTGCGCCGTGCCAGTCAGGGGCTGTGCTGAGGGAGGTGCAGGGTCCGTGCAGCCCAGTCACCTGTAACAGAGACCTGTTGAGTTTGAGGGTGGACAGGAGAGCACTTCAGAGCAACAAACCCTGTTCCTGAGCAACCGTTGGCTCAGAAACGTCTCTGGGTGGCCTTGATCCTGCAATCTGGATAATTGCCTGGGCAACTGTAGCTGCATGTTTGAAATCCAAGGTTATAATTCACAGAAGGAGAATCAAGTTGCCTGAAGAGAAGGAGAGCTTAAAACATAGAAGATAAAATTCCAGCATAGTTTTGCCTTCTTTCTCGTTATGAAGTGGAAGTGCTCTGTGTTAAACTGGCTCGGGGAAGAAATAATTTGTGGTGCATTGTTTCCCGCCAGCTCTGTAAAAATAAGAGTTAAAAGATTGGTATTGTTAGTGCCGTTGCCAGGGGGTTCTCTGTTCAGCAGAGGTGCTTCTGGTGTGTTCAGGAAACTCTGCAATCAGTCCTTCCTAGCTGTGAGAATACGAGCCTTTCTTGAACCCAGCGGTGGCTGGCGAAGGTAAAATGAGATTTGCTGTGCAGTCCGTCACTCGCTGTGTCTCACCTGGAGGGGCCCTTGCAGCCCATCTGGCCGCGTGCCTCCTGCTCTCCGCTTCCCAAACAAGGGTGCGTTGTGCCAGCCTTTCCTGCAGTGTGTGTACGGAAAGCTCTCATTCGTGTACTGCACTCCTAGGGTGTGGGGAGTCCCGGGTATGACAAGGGCTTGTGACTTTGCTGCTTTTTTCTCTTGCAGGTCTACTGCATACAACTTCAATCCCAAACCTGCAAACCCCAGTTTTCTCAGTCATTCCTTGGTGGAACTACTTAACCAGATCAGCCCTACCTTCAAAAAAAACTTCTCCGCTCTGCAGAAGAAACGGTATCCGTGCTTTTTCCTCTCCGGCTGCCTTGCGAGGGAAGCTTTGAGGTTGCTGGTGAGGCTCGGCTGTGTGGCCAGTCCTGGGGGAGCTGGTTGCCCCTCTGATACAGGGAGGATTGCAGTGCCGGCTTTCTCTGTGCTCACACGGTGGGGGGGTGGTTGGGACACGCGGGTCCATGCAGCAGGGACCACGCAACACCTGACTGGGTGTCACGGCAGCGCTCTGGTGTGACTGGCTTTCCCTCGCTCGAGACACGGAGCTGTCGGAGCTGATGGGACTGGTCTGCTGCTGCTCAGCACGGCAGTGACGGGCCGGTGGAAGCCCAGGGTCCTGATCTCCATCCCCTGGATGGTTTCTCTTGGCTGTAGCTCCCAGGTGGCTCTTGCTTTACAGTACGTAGGGTTACAGATTTCAGTTCTGCCTGAAGCAAAGGCTGGGGGATGACAGCTTTCCCTTGCCAAGGGAGAATCAGTTGTGGGGCTTTCCTGGAATTCAGCGCGCTCTGTCCCTGCTGAGAAACGAACACATAGGGCAGTTTGTGTGGTGGGAGAGAAAGTCCAGAGATGGGCTGCAGTGTTTGTACAAGGGAAACTGCGGATGTGCTGAGCGGCTTCTGAGACGTGGGGCTGCTTGCCGAGTCTGTGCGTTGGCTGCGTGCCTTGTGGGAGGCTTGACGACTTCCTAGCTATCCAGGCAGCAAAGAGTTAATGTGAAGCATGGCCACATGCAGCAGCAGCAACTGAGCAGTAGGTACTTCTCCCCTGAACCCAAAAAACAGACAGAAGCATAAAATGTCAGGGAAAGTAACACATGAGGGCTTTGCATAGGCTTATGGTGGAAAGAGAATAATTATTTGAACATGTCTGTGCACGTTCGTTTTCTCTAATTTCCTCTGGCTCCTGTAATAATAGTAATAGTAAACCAACAATACTGCATTGTTTTATTCTCCTGTCCTTGCTGCAGGGACCATTTATCCTGCTCCAGGACAACGGGTCCTGTGCAGAAGCCTGTCATTCTTTAGAGTCCACTTAATGAACTGCCTGGGCTCAGCAGGGTGCAAATTGACAGGCACATTGTGTGCCTTTCAGGAGCTCTGCTTCTGCTCTCGTTAAGAAGATGAAAGTGACACCAGACAAGGGCTGGAAATTAGCAGTGGCCTCCAGCCACCACTGTGACTATCTGGCCATTTAAAAATGATTATACTGAATTGCTTCTTGGGCCAGAAGTAAATACAGATGAGACTCCAGCACCTGCTGGGAGCAGACAGATTACACAGGAGGCTGTTTGGTGACACGTGCTTTTTTTCTTCATTAGTGGGTGTGTGCTGTACACGGGCTGTATAACGCACCCCGTACAGACCGGGTGAGAGCTGAGGACAGGCTGAGAGGGGGCTGCCTGGGAGTGGGCGTCCCCCACTCTGAAAGCAGAGTGTGATGGGGATCTGTGGTGGCACAGCTGAGGATGGAACTAGGGAAAGGGGGGTGGGGAGAGCCCAGGTAATTCTGCAAACTGCTGTTGAGAGATGCTGCCTGTGCCAGTCGATCATCGCGGGGTGTAGTGCTTGTTAAATGGAAGGCTGCTGCGCTGCTCGCGAGACCTGGTCGCCTTCTGTTGTTTGTCAGAAGCTGATGTTGCAGCAGAGGGAAAATTCTCCTAGAATAGAAAGAAGTCTTCCTTTGGAAAATGTGTAACTGTTTTCACTCCCAAACTAGGGTTCAGAGACACCCTTTTGAAAGGATAGCCACTCCTTTCCAAGTGTACAGCTGGACGGCTCCGCAGGCAGAACACGCCATGGACTGTGTCCGGGCAGAAGACGCGTACACTTCCAGACTGGGCTATGAAGAGCACATACCTGGACAGGTACTGGTCTCGCTTTGCCTGAGAACACTGGCAGGAGTTGCTGCGCTGGGAACTGGTTAACGTATAACAGATAGACCTCAGGTATTAAGTGGAAGAGTTTTGCTCCTCAAGGGAAGACTTGCAGAGTCCTTGTTCTTGATGGTGCCCTTGACTACAGGGGCTGTGCTGCTCAGGCTGCAGCTCCCTGAGCACGTAAAGAGGAGCAAATTCTGCTCGCGTGTTTATAAATCCAGTGTCCCTGCTCTGACAAGTACCACTGCACGGAAGGCAGGGCACTCCTCCGTGCCAGTCAGGCCTGGAGTGGCTCTTGTGGCTCTGAGCAAACTATTCCAAGTGCTTCGGTTTCAGCTTCCTAGCGTAAAATCCCGCAGGCTGAGAGCGGGGCAGGGCTGTAACGGCCACCCATGGGCCGCTGTGTGCCTGCGGTGTGACCACATCGCAGTGTGTTGGCTGGTGAAACCTGCACTGTGCTCCTCCAGAGCCAGTAGGCTGCTGTTTCTATTTGTACTGCGTGAGCTCTGGGCTAATGTGAGCTCTGTCCCGGACTGCTGGGGAATAAAGTCCCCTCTCGAGGAGTGCTCACTCCTGCTGCTGATTCACTTCCTCTGAACCCCAGGGCAGCCTGAATTCTTGCCCCTTCCCTTCTCTCACAAAATGCCTCATAAAGCAGAACCGCTGACTTGCCAGCCCCTTCCCACACAATGGTTGCTTCCCACAAGGCTTTAACTCTTTCAGACCAGAGACTGGAACGAGGAGCTGCAGACCACGCGAGAGCTGCCGCGCAAGAACCTGCCCGAGAGGCTGCTGAGAGAACGAGCCATTTTCAAGGTACCTGTGGGATGTGCAGGCAGCTCCTCGCGCAGTCCCCTCTCTGCTGCCCGTGTCACATCTGGACACTTCACCTGGGCCACCCTTTAGAGACTGCCAGAGGAGGATGGATCCCCGTTTGTAAGCTGAGGGGTCTTGTTCTCTCGCATGGCTGCCGTCTGCTCCCATTCCTGTGGGAAGAATTGCGCTCCTTGACCCCGAGCCTCCCTCCTCTTAGTCCTCTGCTGTTACGTCTGATTGACCTCCTTGGGTGGGTGGGAGGAACAGGGGGAGGGGGGGCACACACCTAAGCCCTCCTCTGCAGAGAGCTGAGGAGTCTGAGCCATGCTGGTCCCTGATCTGGCTCCTGGAGCCTGTATCCCAGTCGCTAGCCGGGCTCACAGAAGGAGAAGCCCGCTGGCCTGCTGGGGGCTGCCGGGAGGAGAGGAGTGAAGGAGAAATCTGTAGGGAGCTTTGAGAGCGAGGGGCTGGGAGAGCAGGAGCCCTTCCTTACCCGGCTTTCTCTACACCTACCTGCAGGTTCACAGCGACTTCACCGCAGCAGCAACCAGAGGTGCTATGGCTGTCATCGATGGCAATGTCATGGCCATCAACCCCAGCGAAGAGACCAAGATGCAGATGTTCATCTGGAACAACATCTTCTTCAGCCTGGGCTTTGACGTCCGTGACCACTACAAGGACTTTGGCGGAGATGTTGCTGCTTACGTCGCTCCTACCAATGACCTCAATGGTGTGCGGACCTACAATGCTGTGGATGTAGAAGGGCTGTACACGCTGGGGACGGTGGTGGTGGATTACAGAGGTTACAGGGTGACAGCTCAGTCTATTATTCCTGGCATCTTGGAACGGGAGCAGGAGCAGAGCGTAATCTATGGGTCAATAGACTTTGGCAAGACAGTTGTCTCGCACCCCAAGTACCTGGAGCTGCTGGAGAAGACCAGCAGGCCGCTTAAAATCCAGAAGCACAAAGTCCTCAACGACAAGAACGAGGAGGTGGAGCTGTGCTCCTCGGTGGAGTGCAAAGGCATTATTGGCAACGACGGGCGTCACTACATCCTGGACCTGCTCCGCACTTTCCCTCCGGATCTAAACTTCCTGCCTGTGGAAGGGGAGGAGATGCCAGAGGAATGTAAGAAAATGGGGTTCCCCAAGCAGCACAGACACAAGCTCTGCTGTCTCCGGCAGGAGCTTGTTGATGCCTTTGTAGAACACAGGTGAGCTGAGCTCCCCCCTTCCTCAGCCTTGGTCATGGTCCAAGTCAGGACCGCGCGGTGTCATCCCAGGGATGTCACACAGAGCTCCCAGAAGTGGGCAGCTATTGTAGGAACTTAATGAGAGTTGAAAACAGTAGGGATTCTGACAGGGTTACAGGGAGCCAGCGAAAGAGGTGGTTTTGCTTTTTAGTTTCCAGTTCTGTTTTTATTGTTTTCTGCCTCAACTCCTTCCCTGCAGATACCCTGTGCACCTGATGGCTGGGGAATGAGAAGGATTTATGCTTCGTTTTAAGGCTCTCCAGATGCCTTGAATGCTACCTTTTTTTCCTAGAGGCTGAAAAAAATTACTTATGGGAGCTCCTGTAGGCACTTTTGTGGTGGGATGTGTTGGCATTTGGGCTTGCTCAGTGCGGGCGAGGAAGTGGGAGCTCTGGGAGCAGGACAAGTCGAAGTTGTGTGGTGTGGCTGCGTGGTGCTGGTGTGATGTTAGTGCTCCTGCTCCCAATGTGAAGGGCCGCAGGCGCTCAGCTATCGCAGATGGTCAGAGCCTGTGCTTCGCTTGCTGGCAAGACAAGCCCTCCAGTTGCTGACGGAGGAGCCGAGCCCGCTGAGGAACCAGTTCTGCAGCCAGCACCCTCCCAGTGCACCCTTCCCGGTCCTGCCCGTGCCTGCAGGCAGGCTTTGCTGCTCCCCGGGAGAGCGTCCAGACCAGCAGCCTGCAGGACCGTGGCCGTAGGGTGCTGCTGCTCCTCCTCGGCTAGCAGGGGCTGGTCTCTCTGTGCTGAGGTCTCCTGGCAGAATTGCTGCTGGTTTTGTGTTTGACTGGTCCAGCACATCTGGCAGCGAGAGTCATCTCGAGCTGTGTGCTGATGCTGCGTGTGGAAAGCAGTTTGTAACCACTGCAAGGAGACTGGTTTCCCATTGTGATGGGAAATTAAAACCCACTTTGTTTTTTTTTTAAGTTCTTCTGATAAGCTAATGTGCACTCCTTTGATTTTGGAAAGCTCATGGGAAGAGTGTGTACGTCCTGCCTTTCCCCAGGGAAAATGTGTGCTCTGTAATGGTAACTTTGTGGGGTTTTTCCTCGCAGAGCGGTGGTGAACCTCTTGGACTCTCCTGCTGTGCTCAGTTCCTCTTTTCCTCTCCTGTAGGTATCTCTTGTTCATGAAGCTGGCCGCGCTGCAGCTGATGCAGCAGAAAGCCAACAAACAGGAGAGCTCGGGTGCGCTGGAAAACGGCGCCTCTCCAGAGAACGGCACTGCAGACAGCGAGAAGTCTGAGTCAGAGGATGGTAAAATAGACGATAACGTGACGGGACTTGATCAGGTGAAAGAGCTGGCGGAGACCATTGCCTCTGATGAAGGAACAGGTATTTCATCCTCGCACCAGAAGCAGCCCCGGCCTCCTGCCCTGGGTGGTGGGCTGTGTCCCTGGGGGCAGCGATGCCCGGCTGGGGGTGGCAGGGGCGGTTATT